TTCAGCAGCATGCTCGGTTTAGAAAATTCATAATTCGACATATACCCATCGAAACGACCTCAAACCAAAACCAATAAGTCAAGGACAACTCAAAGTACTTAGAACTTCAGGGATTCCACGAAAAATACCATTCGAAACTCAGTTCGACAATAAACCAAAGTGACGGCAATCACTTTGATATCCAAAACGCATATAAATTATCATAATTCATACAAACACATATCCAAGGCACATAATTAACTCGTAATTCACACGTTCAGCACATAATATCACACAATATCACAATACACGAAATCAAAACGAGACGGAGTTCGAGCCTAGGTACCGTTCTCGGGAAAAATTCGGAAAGCGGAACGGTATCGAACGGGACATAGCGAACACGGCTCAAGGGCTCACAGCCGCAGCAAGGTTCGCGATCGGGACGTCCAACAACAGCCTGCGATGGTCAACGGGGATGACAAAGCCTGCTCATGATAGGCATCGAGACTGAAGACGACCAGAACTCGAGCGCAAGAAGGCCGCCGGACTGGTTCACCCGCCGAGGATGACAGTACGCAGACAGAGGAGACGGGGACGGTGATTTGAGGTCTCGACGGAACTTGCTGGTTGTGGCCTTCGGAGGTGTAGCAGCGTTCGGTGGTCACCGGTGCTCTGTTGTTCACGGAAGGAGGGCGATCGAGCCTTGGTCTCGGGCCTGATATCAAACAGAGGCAACAATGGCCGACGACTTGGCGTCCGGAACTAGTCGGCTTCGTTTAACGCTCCGACGGAACCCGACGGAGCTCAACGATCACGATAGGCTCTTCGACGGAACTCGACGGGTCCCGCAAGCTGAGATTGAACGTTGATGGGAGGAGAGTTCGCCGGAATCGGTTAGACCTGGGGGAAAAGGTCGCGTGGTTCAACACGTCTGGTGGTGCTGCTCTCGGTCGCCGGTCTGAGGTCAGAGGTCGGATAGCGACTTGACGTTGAAGGTCGATCTCGCCGTTTGTCTCCTCGTCGGAAATCGGGTGGTTCTCCGGCACCGTGAATGACTCGCCATCATCGCTGGTGGCGTTCAACTCGCGTTCGCCTGAAATCTGTTGCTGTTCGTGATGGAGATGCTCAGCTGGGTCATCGTGGGATGGAAGCAACTCGTGGAGGGAAGAGATAGAGTTTACGAGCTTCTTTTATGCTCTGAAATTCACGAAAGATTTCTCTCTTATCTGCTACTGATCGAACGAGAGGGGAGAGGTGGGAGACTGCGCGATTTGCCAGAAGAAGAAAAGGTTTTGCCATTTAACAAATAACCCTAAGTTAATCTCTTGCCAACCAAGATAGGTGAAACGGGTCGCGGGTCGGGCTCGATAAATTAAAAGGATTCAGTTCACTCGGATAATGTCTGGAAGAATATTAAAATAAATCAAATCGACAATTCATATATTTATATATCACACAATATATATTTATTAATAATAAGTAATTAATACAATTAGGCAATTAATAACAATTAGACAACTAATAGTAACAATAATAATAATCAATTTGACAATTAGACAAATAATAATAATAGTAGTAATAATAAT